AGTGGAAGTGATGATAATCCATCTGAACAATTTAAAATTTTAAAAGATTATGCTGATGTGGGAGGAGTTAACAAGTCTCAGATGTAGGGATGGGGAACCTGTTGCTCTCTAGATTTTTTTTGTTCATAGACTCATAGAATTGTAGAGCAGGCCACAAGTGTCATATGGTCCAAGCCCCTTGTCATTGGATAGCAGCTCCTATCAGCTTCAGTCAGCATGGTCGATGGTCAGGCCTGATTGGAGCAGCAGCCTCACAACTTGGGCGGGATGCCCCGCCCCCAGGACACATGCCACGCCCCTGCAGGCAGTGCATCCCGCCCCCAGGATGCATGCCAGCCCCCCCCCGCCTGCTCTCCACCCCCACCCCGGTGCCGGAGCATGAAGCTCCACCACTGATGCCAGCTGGTCAACTTAATTTCTTCCATTGCTTTCAGTTGGACATGCAATCCACAGTCCTGTGCAGATGTTCATAAGGCTTACTGTCTGAAGCTATTGCATATTTGGCCATAAATACTAGAGAGTTCTGTGATAGGTGTGCAGATAGTAGCCCTACAGCACAAACCAATGCATGTTTACTTGGAAAAAAATCTCACTACTTCCGCTGAGACTAACAATCACAATCCTAAGCATGTCTACTCAAAAGTATATATATATATATATATATATATATATATGCAGGTTTTGGTGTCCTCGGGTGTCTTCCCGTGTAAAAGTTGGGGTGTCTAGGCGACGTTTCGACGAGGTCTCACTCGTCATCTTCAGGCTGGTGCTTTCGGCTTCTTGTTACTGGAACAGAGCAGGATCTCAGTGTTTGAGTTCCTATAAATACTGTTGAGGGGGTGTGGTGTATAGCCTCCAATGTTCTGGGCAGAGAGGAAGTTCCCAGGCTAGTGTGCCTTTTCTTCTTTTGTTCCTTAATTACTTGAGGGATATCTTGAGTGATTTCTTGAGTGATATCCTGAGTACCACTTAGGTGGGTCATTAGGTGTGGATTAGTTGCTAAAGCCTTCGTGTCTTGACTTCTTGAACTTTGTGAAGAGTTTTTCTGAGAAGATGGCTGTACTGCACTTAGTTGTGCTCTGGCTTGGCTTCGTGTATAGGGGCGAGCTGTGGTTTTGTGTCCTGTGCCAGCCAGATCTGTGTAGGGATTGCAGGGGGGTGCAGCATCCGGAGGTGCCACCATGGTTTGGCTACTGGATGGTGTCTGTAATTTATCTGTGGAGAGGGTCTGGGTTTGGGTCTGGTGTGGTTGATTGGTGATGGCGTTCTGTGTGCCTCTGGATCTGGTGTCGGTTTTTGTGGGGAGGGCTAATTTCCAGATGTCTGGCAGGCGGGATGTGTCGTCACGCTTGTTCATGTTGTGAGGGTGTTTCTCTATCTCGATGGCTTCCATGATTATTCTCTTGTGGTGATGTTCCATGTTAGAGAGCAATTTGGAATCTGCAAAATTAATTTCGTGTCCTGTTTCTTTCATGTGTTGGAAAAGAGAGGAAGTTTTTTCTTCTTTTTTGACGGCATTCTTGTGTTCTGCGATACGTGCATTTATTCGTCTGTTTGTTTGTCCAATGTACGTGGCTGGGCAGACTTTGCAGGGTATTTCATAGACCCCTTGGTTTTCCAACTGAATTTTATCCTTGGGGTTTCTGAGGATATTGGCTATTTTTTGGTTGGTGCAAAAGGCTGTTTTGATATTGTGTTTATGGAGGATTTTGCTAATTTTATCTGTAGTGCCCTTGATATAAGGAAGGATATATATATATATATATATATATATATATATATATATATATATATATTTGGACCATTTCAATATATATATATTTATATATATTTATATATATATATATATATATATATATATATATATATGAGAATATATATATATATTTGGACCATTTCCTTTTTTGCTTTAATAAAATTTTATGAGATTTTAAACCATTTAACAAATTCAGTTCAATGTCAGTACAATATTCCCTTATAATTTTGGCTTCCCACCCTTTATTCCGCGACGTTTCAATTCAAATCATTCATCTACTGCCATAAAAGTATAGAATCATAGAATCATAGAATCATAGAATCATAGAGTTGGAAGAGACCACAAGGGCCATCGAGTCCAACCCCCTGCCAAGCAGGAAACACCATCAGAGCACTCCTGACATATGGTTGTCAAGCCTCTGCTTAAAGACCTCCAAAGAAGGAGACTCCACCACACTCCTTGGCAGCAAATTCCACTGTCGAACAGCTCTTACTGTCAGGAAGTTCTTCCTAATGTTTAGGTGGAATCTTCTTTCTTGTAGTTTGGATCCATTGCTCCGTGTCTGCTTCTCTGGAGCAGCAGAAAACAACCTTTCTCCCTCCTCTATGTGACATCCCTTTATATATTTGAACATGGCTATCATATCACCCCTTAACCTCCTCTTCTCCAGGCTAAACATGCCCAGCTCCCTTAGCCGTTCCTCATAAGGCATCGTTTCCAGGCCTTTGATCATTTTGGTTGCCCTCCTCTGGACACGTTCCAGTTTGTCAGTGTCCTTCTTGAATTGTGGTGCCCAGAACTGGACACAGTACTCCAGGTGAGGTCTGACCAGAGCAGAATACAGTGGCACTATTACTTCCCTTGATCTAGATGCTATACTCCTATTGATGCAGCCTAGAATTGCATTGGCTTTTTTAGCTGCCGCGTCACACTGTTGGCTCATGTCAAGTTTGTGGTCAACCAAGACTCCTAGATCCTTTTCACATGTACTGCTCTCAAGCCAGGTGTCCCCCATTTTGTATTTGTGCCTCTCATTTTTTTTGCCCAAGTGCAATACTTTACATTTCTCCCTGTTAAAATTCATCTTGTTTGTTTTTGCCCAGTTCTCTAAACTGTCAAGGTCGTTTTGAAGTGTGATCCTGTCCTCTGGGGTGTTTGCCACCCCTCCCAGTTTGGTGTCATCTGCAAATTTGATCAGGATGCCCTTGAGTCCATCATCCAAGTCGTTGATAAAGATGTTGAATAAGACCGGGCCCAAGACAGAACCCTGTGGCACCCCACTAGTCACTCTTCTCCAGGATGAAGAGGAACCATTGATGAGCACCCTTTGGGTTCTGTCAGTCAGCCAGTTACAAATCCACTGAGTGGTAGCATAGTCAAGACCGCATTTTACCAGCTTCTTTACAAGAATATCATGGGGCACCTTGTCAAATGCCTTGCTGAAATCAAGGTAGGCTACATCCACTGCGTTCCCTTCATCTACCAGGCTTGTAATTCTGTCAAAAAACGAGATCAGGTTAGTCTGACATGACTTATTTTTCAGAAATCCATGCTGACTATTGGTGATCACAGCAATATGTCTCCATATTGACACACAGTAGTATGTCTCCAAAACATATACCCTACATTACATTCCTTTATCATTCCTCAAGTCCTGCCTGTGATTTCATTTGACTATAATATTTTCTCAGATAATCTGAAAAGGGTCCTTTCCCAGGTTGACAAGTCTCATCTGCCCCTCACTTCCCTCCTCAGCACGTGCAGAAACCTTCTTGACCATTGGACCCACTATTGGCCTTGTCAGCTCAATTCACCAGAGCCTCTCTTCATATGCAGGGGAAGTGCCTAACTCACCAAGGGTTTGGGACCCATCAGCTGCCCTCACTTGCTTTAATCAGCCAGTCAAAGCCTTTTCCTGTGGTGTGGCCACTGTCAGTGTTGCAATGTTGTCATGCTGATAGTTTCTAGGGGCCACAGGTGAGCTCTGAGCGCAGGGTGGGGCCCAAAGATGGACAAACTACCTCAGAAGGAGCACAACATTTTCCCCACCAGAGGTACTCCTCTTCTCCTAATACACCACAAACTTCTTAGCAGAACTTCCTCCCAGGAAAACGTGCAACGGATTGCAGCCTAAAGTAATTCCTAGTGAATCCAACGGGACTTAACAGATGCATGGGATTGCAGCCTTAACTACAGTGGTACCTCAGGTTACAGACGCTTCAGGTTACAGACTCCGCTAACCCAGAAATAGTACCTCGGGTTAAGAACTTTGCTTCAGGATGAGAACAGAAATTGTGCGGTGGCGGGGCAGCAGCGGGAGGCCCCATTAGCTAAAGTGGTGCTTCAGGTTAAGAACAGTTTCAGGTTAAGAACGGACCTCCAGAACGAATTAAGTTCTTAACCCGAGGTACCACTGTACAACTATATAAACCAAACCAAGGCCACACATGAAATAGAACAAGCTGATTTAGGGATTTTTTTTTATCTTCCTAGAACATGAATCCATAATGAAAAATTAATTGTATTAAAAAAGTGTCGATTGCCATTATAAAACAAAATAATAAAAAACTTTTCCAAAATGGTGTTCTATTGCCCTCTACTGGCATGATTTCTGTTCTCAACCTGAAGCAAAGTTCTTAACCTGAAGCACTATTTCTGGGTTAGCAGAGTCTGTAACCTGAAGCGTATGTAACCTCAAGCGTATGTAACCACTGTAGATCTAAAGGTAAAAGTAAAGGGACCCCTGACTGTTAGGTTCAGTCGCGGACGACTCTGGGGTTGTGGCGCTCATCTCGCTTTATTGGCTGAAGGAGCCAGCGTACAGCTTCTGGGTCATGTGGCCAGCATGACTAAGCCGCTTCTGGTGAACCAGAGCAGCACACAGAAATGCCATTTACCTTCCCGCCTATTTATCTACTTGCACTTTGATGTGCTTTCGAAGTGCTAGGTTGGCAGGAGCTGGGACCGAGCAACAGGAGCTCACCCCGTCGCGGGGATTTGAACCGCTGACCTTCTGATCAACAAGCCCTAGGCTCTGTGGTTTAGACCACAGCACCACCCGCATCCCACATCGCCATCTATTTAATGCTATAAACAGCATGTGTGCCTTTGGTTTAGCAAATGGGTGAGAGAGGCAGTTGAAAGTGGATATTTAAACGTGTTGGATATTAAATATCTTGGATATTTAAAGGTGTTGTCTTCTTTTAAAATGTGTTTCTCCCTGCCACCACAACAAACCAAAAAGTCAATTGTGACAAAAGAATTTAATAGTAAACAAAGTGTGGGAACAAAATACAAAAAAAGAAAATGTGCTCCAGAAAGGCAAGGATTACAAAAACATATATACATTCCATACATTTCAAAAGAGACATTTCTTTCTTTCTTTTTTAAAGAATAAACAATAAAGAATAAAGAACTGAACAGAAACCAGGAATGTATTGATTTGTGTATCCTTTACATAGAAGAAGAGGATCAGGAATGGCAGGACAGCATTCCAAGACAATAGCCCACCAGCACTATACTATTAAAGTAGTATCATACCACTTTAAAGCGTCATGGCTTCCCCCAAAGAATTCTGAAAGATGTGGTTTGTTTAGGGCACTGAGATTTGTTAGGAAACCCTCAGAGAGCTACAATTCCTAGCATTCCTTGGGAAGAAGGACTGATTGGGAACTGTAGCACTGTGATGGGAACAGGGGTCAACTCTCAGTACCCATGGCAAAGTTACCAGGATTCTTTGGGGAAGCCACTGCTGTTTAAAGTGGTATGATACTGCTTTAAATACCTAGTGCAAAAGGAAGACATCATTATGTGTAGAGCAGCCTTTGCCAACCTGGTGCCTTCCAGGTGTTTTGAACTACAAGCCCCATCAGCCTTAGCCAGCATGTGCTAACTGGAGCTGCTGGGAGTTGTAGTTCAAAACATCTGAAGGGCACCAGGTTAGCAAAGTCTGGTATCGGAGGTTGATCCCAAGTTAGAATTTCACAGCCAGTTTCTTGGACTGGGGCTCAAAAGGGTCATAAGGAACAGGGGAAGACCTGAGCAACTATAAGGCTTCCTGTTTTCCTTGGAAGGGAACAGAAACAACCTATCCACTTCATCCATCGCCAGCGACAAGATGCTTTGGAAGATCTGAGGGGCTGCAGCAGATTCAGATTCCAAGTATGCTCAGCCAGAAAACTCAACTCTGCTTGGTGTTACGTATGCTCTTTACACTGCATAACTGGTTCAGACATCTATGCCAAAGCCTGAAAAAAATATTAAACTAGATTTGTTGTATTTGCAGACAGTTCTGGACAGGCATGCGGACATTCCTGAATGATTGAATCAAGTGCTATTTTACTGGCAATCATCCATTGCCAAGAGCAGCACTATCCAGTTGTGCCCTTTCCCACAAATAAACACACCTTGAAGTCATGGCTGCTATTCTGCTGCCTGCGTAGGTAAAAACTAGGCTGGGCAGCAGTAGATGTTTGGGGGAAATGGAGTTGAAAGGGTTACCATGAATTGCCATTGGGTCTCCACACAAGGGCAGTCAATATGATGACCTCCAGATGATGCTAGGACTACAACTTCCAACATCTTTTACCAATGGTCCCACTTGTCAGGGTGGATTGAGCTGTACTCCAGCATCTTGAGAGCATCACATTGGGTACCTCTTCTATTGAGCGACAAGTACTTTGGACTGACTCTAAACATCTGGAAAATCGGTACAATCCGTCTCCTTGCACAACCATATCTCCCATACAATAGGAAGTCTGTGTGTGAGAGATGTCTTTGGTTACTATCAAAGCAGGCACTGGTGTTGCACTTGCTGTTAGAAAACTAAGTTCACTATTTGAAGAACAGAACACAGCCACCATCTTTGTAGCCTCACCATCAGCCACTGGCAAACCAGGGCCTGCTTAGGGTTTCAGTCTTTTTGGCAGAAAACAGAAAAGCCAGAAATACCAGCACAATATTTTCCACCCAGTGCAGGAATACTGTGTCTCAGGTGGCTTTTTTTTAATGGGAAATGTGTAACCACCTTCAAGGTCCTCAGCAGAGTCTTTGACCTTAACACTGATACTGTAACATATGGCCAAAGATTCCTGGAGCAATTATTGTCTTACAGTGAAAAGCACCCAGTGTATTAATAATTCCAATGGTTACCTTCGTATTAAATGTGTGGTAGAAATTACGCCCCCCCCAATTCACCAGTGCTTCCCATCATCCCTCCAAACCCTCAATAAATGATCACAGTGAAAACATTAGTATATGCTATTAATGCAGCTATTGGCAGTGTAGACAGTTCTTCCGAATGGCTACTGAACAATCTGAGGCATTTCACTCCATGCTTTGGCCTTTTTCCTGGCCAGAGAAAGCCAAGGTGGCTCAGCAGGGCTGCACGATGACATCGGTAGGCTTGGCAATGGCCTCGTTTCCTTTTCCATTTGAGGGGCTTCCTGAGGCTTTGTTCTAACAGATGTTGCTGGGGAGAAAAGGAGGACATTAAGTAAGCTCTATGGGGCTGAAGAACACACCCCAAGCATCACCCTTTGGAAACAACCACCCAAGTAGGACGGAACCACCACAAAACATGCCACCCACCCCCCAGCTTGGACAGTTGCTACAGAAGGATTCTATGGTTGATGCCATCAAAAGCTGCTGAGAGGTCAAGGAGAATTAATTCTCCTGTCCCTCTCCTGACAAAAATCAATATACAGAGCAACCTAAGCACTTTCTGTGTCAAAATTGGGCCTAAACTCCAGTTGAAATGGATCTAGAAAATCAGTTTCCTCTGAGAAAGCAAGGATCTGGTCCTTCACCACCCGCTTAAGAACCTTGGCCAAGAAGGAGAGATTGACAACAGACAGGAAATTGCTCAGATTTTTTGAATCCAGGGAGGGTTTCTTAAGCAGTGGTCTTATCGCTGCATCCTTCAAGCAAACACGAACCACTTCCTCACAAGAAAACATTAATCACCTCCTTGGCCGAGCCAGCTGTCTCCTCCCCGCTAGTTTTTATCAGCCAAGAGGGCCAGGGGTTCAGAGAACAGGCGGTCGCTCTGACCGATCCAAGCGCTATGTCTGTGTCCTTGGGCCTTACTGAAACTCATCCAACAGGACAAAGCAGTGCCATGTAACCCCCTTGAGATTAAACTGCGTAACACTGGAGATCAGTTCTCAGCAGATGCAAGTGATTTATTCTTCAAAATGCTTTGTCAACAAGTCACAGTAAGCTCTAATCAGTTTTGCTACCTCCTTTGGGCCAGACTGTAAAAGGTCTCATGCTCCCCGGGAAAGTTTTGCTTAATGAGGATGCAATCCCTAGCTAGCAGGATGAGCGGTTAGGGATGGTGCAAATTGTAGCCCAACAACTGCTGGGAACCCAAGTTTGAGAAACACTGGCTTAAAACAATAATGGAGAAGCTGTGGCCCTCCAGAGGTGGCCCATCAGCCCCAGCCAGCATGCCCAATGGTCAAGGATGGTGGGAAGTGGATTCCAACAGCACCTGGAGGGCTGCAGGTTTCCCATCCCTTGGTTAGGGGATGGCTTCCTGATCCTGGAAAGTGGGGGTCATCAGAGTACGGGAATTATTGTCTTCCTCAATTAAGGGATGGTGCCTGTGTCGCTGTATGTCAATAAACTGTGGTTAAGGCAGAGTAAGAAGGGGAAGAAGAGCTATAGCTCATCTACTTTGTATGCAGAAAGTCCCAGCTTCAATCCCTGGCAATCCTTGGGAGAGACTCTGCCTAAAGTCCTGGATGGCTGCTGCCTATCAGGGTAGACAGCACCAAATTAGATTGATCCATGGCCTGATTAAGTAAAAGGCAGTTTTCTAAATTCACAAAGAGATGTGAAATTCTGCTGGAAGGATGGAAAACATGTTGAAGGGGAGGTAGTGGATCTTCTTTCCTGGAAGAACTGTCAACGCTGTACCTCCCCCTGTGCTCTGCTTGTTTATTTGTAAATAAGTCACATGTCCTAGGTGATCAAGGGTTGTCTAGGCTAACCTCCCACTATGCAGGAATCTTCTTCAAAATGAACCCAAGTCTCAGTGAAGACTGCCCCTGAAGTTTTTCACTGCCCGTGGAAGAACTGCATGCATGCATCATCCTGCAACATATCCAAATATAGCTGCTATTTCTATCCAAGCACAGTGCTATATCAAAGTTTAAACATCCCTTCCACATTAGCTGAGCTCAATGGGGGAAGGTTAAATAACCACTCCTGTTCTTTTTTCCAGTTTTTAATACCTTTTATAGCTGCTGGAGCCATCTTCAACGGGGTTTTACTCTCAAGTGCACGTACTTGAGGAGCACTGGTCTTCTTCAATATATTCTCACTGGTAAAATTTGTTTGCTATAAGGCAAAAAAAGAAGAATGCAATTCATGCACTGCAGAGCAGATGAAGCTTGAGTGACTTAAGTCCATTGACTTCAATCAGTAACATATGACTAGTGTTGGATTTCACCCAATGGTTTTTCCAGTTTAACAAACAGTGGTTTAGAAAGTTGGGAGTGAGCTTCAGGCCCAGGCACCCCTTTTCCCTTCCTCCCATTGCAATTGCATCCTAATTACTACTGAAATAGGGAACTCCGGTTTAATGTCAGTGTATTAATCAGGACTCTAAGCCACAGTCAAATCCTTGTTTAAGTGTCTAGTAAGCAAACCAACACAAATCCAGAGCATAGCTGTCAACTTTCAGATTTAAAAATAAGGGATCAGCAGCCTTGAAAATAAGGGATCAGCAGCCTCACCTGTCCCAGGGACAGTCTACGGGATAGCTAACAATCCGGGATAGCAGCGGGAAACAGCGCTGGAATAAGGGTATTTCCCGCAAAAAAATTGGAAGGTTGACAGCTCTGATCCAGAGGGTTTCTTCCCACATTGCAGCTTGTATGCCACTTTGCAAGTCACCATCAAAATCCTATCACCAAACTTACATGCAAATTAGAAACTATAAAAATCTAAAACTGAGCAGCATTTGAAAAACACGTACATAAACGTTTTAAGAGCCAGCCTAACTTCATCAAGCCTTAATTACAGGCTCAGTTCCCAATTTTGTCCAATATATCAGACCCCGGAGACGAAAGACATAAAAAGTAACTTTGATTTATACAGACCAGGGTTGAAGCATCAAAGGGGAGTGCAGACTTGGCACTGGCTTCTGGCTTCCTAAACAAAGATTTACCACGGCAGGACTGTTCCATCTGAAAGATGAATGGGTTGGCTGAGCCATGAACAGTTTCTGTGCATAAAGTACTCCCACAACAGTCATAGAAACATAGGAAAGTGACTTATGCTGAGAAAGACTTTTGTTCCATCCACTGACTAACAGTCGTTTTCCAAGGCTGCAGACCCACAGCCTCTTCTGCTGACTCTCACAGATTCAGAGTCAGCCCCCGACAGGAAATAGGGTAGCATCAGGACATGCGTCAGGACACAGACATCAGGACATACATAATGAACGCAATGCCCTGGAACAGGGTTTCCCAAACGTGGGTCTCCTGCTGTTTTGGGACTATAGTTCCCATCATCCCCTGACCACTGGTCCTGCTAGCTAGGGATAATGGGAGCTGCAGTCCCAAAACAAATGGAGACCCAAGTTTAGGAAACCCTGCCCTAGAGACCATTATACTGAGGAGAGGGTGAAGCTCTCAGGAAGTCATATGCTTGACCTCCGCTGGTGTTACTATGGTAACCCAGTGCACCTGGAAGCATTATCTCAGAACATCAAGACGTGTGGGATGTGCTCCTCAACTCAAGAGCCCAAGCACTGTGTACAATTAACCAATTGTTCACATGACCCCAACACGAAGTACCCTACACACAAACCCAGAGACCATGTCTAAACGAAGCAGGATGTGCTTCCTTCCCTGCAACTGTCACAATATTGAAGTCAAGCTTTGAAGAGTTAGGATCTTAAAAAAATAAATCCTGATATCCAAATGTATTAGTGAGAGTGGCCATGGCTCAGTGGCAGAGCATAGGCAGTTTAATCCCTGGTAGCCAAAGCTGAAAGGGTACTTAAGTAGCAGATGATGGGAACAATGCTGGTTCTAGGTTCTGCAGAGGTGCTTCTTTGGACACCTCTTTGGCTCCTCTCTTGCTCTCTGAGGCACTGCTGCCCATTCCTTGCTCCAGACAACCACCTACTAAGGCCTGTGGATGGTGCAGCCATGTCCCTTCGCTCATCACTGCCCGTATGTTCAGAGACAGAAGGTGAACACAGGCAGTGACAGCAAAGAGGAGCAGGAAGGTAAGTCTGTATGCAGAGTGTGGCAGTGGTCAGGGGCCAGGGCCTTGAAAAGAGCCCAGTAACACCTGCCCTTGGTGCTGGCCCTGGATTGGAAGAATCCTGCTTGAAACCCGAAGAGCCGCTGCCAGTCAGAGTAGGCAATACGGGCTAGATGGACAAACAGTCTGACCTGATGAAGCAGCTTTCTACATAACTATACCCACACACACACACACGTACTCAAGGTGCACAATTACTGAAAATTAAAATCAGAAATAAAACTATCAGTCAATCTCCGAGTATACCAACGGAGAGCTTCCTACAAAACTATCCCACTAAATGATATGAACAAGGGTCAATATGCACCTACCTTTTCCTGCTGAGAAATGCTGCTGCGCTTCTCCCCTCCTTGTTCAGTTTTGGCAGAGGTTTTATCCTCCCATGTCTGTTCTTTCGCAAGAGGGTGACCCTGGAAGCCTTTCTGCTTTAGTTTTGCCATCAGAATCCATGCTGGTTCAGAGGATGTGCTTTCCAGATGTGGGGCCGGGGTTTGCCCTAGGGATTGGAGAGAAGCTGATCAAACTTTCACACTGGCCTCCCTCCCGGTGCACCTGACGCATGCAGAGTGCCATGCAGCCTTGGTAAAAAAAAAATCTGTTTGGGGACTGCAATCACACGACCACAAACACTTAATCCACACACGGACAGGCACAATCGCAAATATGTAAGATTATTATTATTTATCAATTGTATTTATTTCCCTTCATCCAAAGGTCACAGTATAAAAACACAAAATACATAACATAAAAACACAAAATACATAAGATAATAAGAAAGAAAACAATACCCCGGCTGCCACCCACCAACACTTTAAAAGGCCGTAGATTGTTTAATCAGCGAAAGGCCTGGGTTTTTGCTTGACACCTAAAGATATGTAAAGGTGGCCCCAGGTAAGCCTCTCTGGGGACAGTATTCCATAAATGGGGAGCCACATGTTCCCATGTTGCCGCATTCCAGACCTCTTGTGAAGGAGCTACACAGAGCAGGGCCCCAGATGATAATGACAGGGTCCTGGTGGGTTCACAGGGAGAGGGGCAGTCCTTGAGGTATTGTGGTCCTGGAACAACCTGGCCACCAGCTGAAGTTTCTGAGCTGTCTTCAGAGGCAGCTTCACCTCTAACACACTGCAGTAATCTAACCAATAGAGCATAGACAACAGTATAGGCTATCCCTATCCAGAAAGGGGTGCAGCTGGGCCACCAACTAAAGCTGATAGAAGGCACTCTAGGCCACTGAGGCCACCTGAGCCTCAAGTGACAGCAATGGATCCAGAAGAACCCTAAAGCTATGTACCTGAACCTTAATGGGTAGGAGTGAACCCCCATTAAGAGCAGGTCTGGGGAACCGCCCACTAACAGTGCCTCCATCTTATCTGGATTGAGCTTCAGTTTGTTGACTATCATCCAATACATTACAGAGGAAAGATAACAGTCCAGCACATCTACTGCAACACCAGCAGATGTAAAAGAAAACTCCAAAACTCTGGATGACCCCAACTCAACTGTTTCATGCCCTGATGTTGCCCAGAGTACCCAGGTGGGTACAAGCTGGTTGAGACCAACTGCACCCTGCTCACCCAGGTCTCAGTGATACAGACTAGTTCAGCCTCCTCATCCACAATCAGATTCTGTGGTGAGGGAGGTCTTATTCAGCACTGACTTAGCATTCAACAGCAGCAGTGGCAGACCAGAGGGTGGCTGATATGACAAAGCTACTGCCCATGGAAATAGAGGTATATTATTAATCCTTAGTAAGTCTGTTCAAGTCCACACACACACACACACACACACACACACACACAGTTTGTAAAAAAGAAAAGTTCTTCAACACCCTTTTATTGATCCAGACTCTGCAAAGTGCATAATTCCAAGAAGAGGAATTCAAATCATGTCAATGCACAGCTGAAAAGCAAACCCTGCATTACAGTTATTCAAAGTCTCAAACGTCAAAATGCATCCTAAAAACTGCATTCATGCAGTTGCAAAATGCATGGATGACTTTTTGCAAAGAACACAAGTAAATCCAGCCCACAGACGTGCTCTAAACCTCTGTGGTTTAGAGAGAGAAAGAAAGAAAGAAAGAAAGAAAGAAAGAAAGAAAGAAAGAAAGAAAGAAAGAAAGAAAGAAGTTACAGTAAGTGCCGCACTTTTAGGGAAGGTTTAATGTTATATTGTGTTTTTATATATGTTGGAAACCACCCAGAGTGGCTGGGGCAACCCAGTCAGTTGGGCAAGCTTCTGTCTCTCTCTCTCTCTCTCTCTCTCTCTCTCTCTCTCTCTCTCTCTCTCTCTCCCCTATCTATCGACAAAAAGTTTTACCTTTTTTACCCTTTAGCCCTTGAGTACACCCAGAAAAAAACCCACTGATACCAGCCAACCCTGGATTGGCTCTCACATTAGGCAGAGTGAGGTAGCAGACTCGGGGATACTATGAAAGAGAAGCAAATTGCCAATAATTTAGTTTAAGCTTTTTAAGACCACCATGGAGGATGCAATATTGATTTTTAGCCTCAAACACCAAGACATCTCAGCAGAGGAGAGCCACAACAGTGGTGAAGGGTCTGGAGACCAAGTCCCATGAGGGAAGGGGGTTATTGATTTTGCTTATTACTATGCTAGGCATTTTTGTGTTTTTATATTGTAAGCAGCCCCATGATCCTTGGAGGAAAGGGGGTATAGAAAAACTACTTAATTAATTAATTAATTATAGTGTGATCTGTGCATATCAACTCACAAACCAGCCCCATTTCCACTCAGGAAAGTGAGTGTATAATTGAAGCAGTAGTTAACAAACTTTGTCAGGACTCGAAAAGGTTGACGACATATTAGGTTTAAGGAAAAAATAGTACAGTATTTAAAAAATAATAATATCCTGGGACATGGAAGAACAGGATTTCATACCAGCTTTTAAAATGTTCAGAATGATTTTAAAAACTGTTCAAGCTATGGTTCAGATGATCTATTTCTAACTGACATAGTGCTTATGTATCTGATTGATGGATTTTTGGAATGAATGAAAGTAAACTCAAATGTTTTTATTGGTTTATTATGTCACAACGTTCTGTGAACTTGAAATTGTATATATGCACAAAAATAACAATTTAAAAGTCCACTGTGTTTATAGTGCAGCCATGCCCACAGAACCTGTATAAAAACGTGGTTTTCTGAATGTATATACAGGGGTGGAATTTTGGCATAAATGCAACCTACACATTAATAAATAAAGGTAATTATGTACAGACAACTTGTTGAACCACAACTCCCATCATACATGAGCACTAGCTATGCTGGCTCAGGCCAATGGAAGCTGGATTCCAGCATCATCTGTTGGGTGACATGCAGATGTTTGCAGCATGAAAAACAGCTGTTTCCCACATCTGGCATAACGTGTGGCACTCTCCTGAGCATTCATGCATCACCAAGCAGCCAACAAGCAGATGCCTCTAAAGCAGCTTGCCTGTATAATAACACAAATACCTGAGAGCTTGCCTATCTGCTGCTTGGCTTCATCTTCGTCAGGTTTGATGGCTTTGATGGGGTGGTTCTCCTTTTGGAAGATGGGTTTTGGAACCGAAGCTTGAGTGCCACCTGTCAGATTTTGGGGAGGCTTCCCAGAACTTGATGGCATCAGATCTTCTTTGACCAAAGTAGAAGAGGTTCCTGGAACCACAGGTGTCAGTTGCTTTGCAGGCTCGTGATGCTTCTGCTGGGTTCGGTATTTCAATAGAGAGGGTGTTCTCCTCAGCTTAACCCCAAATGGGCTCTCACAGTCAAGCACATTTTCTTTTGGCCATTCATTTACAATATTTAAGTTGGCGCCAACAGTCCCATTACCCTTGTCAAGACACTCTGGGCTCCTTACTATATATCCCTCTGTGGCTGTATCCAAGTGGGGCATTCCTTCAAACAACTCTGGTCTTATGGGTGAAGAAGGGGTGCTTCCAGGGCAGGAACTATCCATGGAACTCGAGCTCCCCGAAAGAGACCTCTGCCAGGCTGATGCAATGGTGAACCTGGCAGGCTTCGCAGAAGTGGACTTTGGGTGGGCCTTGGAAATCTCATCTGGACCTTTGCTTTCTTCCATTTTCACACTTCCTGGTAAGTCTCCAGCCTTGTCATCAGAACAGCTACTTTTAGGAGCAACCTTGGGGGATCCTGCAGAGGACAGACCTACCAGAGAAGGGTTGCTCAGGTTTCTAAAGCTGGCATCCTCTTGCCCGCCTCGGCTGCTGTTCAAATCAGAACAATAAGGTTCATTTGGGTGGGTAGGTTTCTCACCCACGGCACTGTGAAGTGGAAGCTCATCTACTTGGGAATCTAAGATGGCTGGTCCTCCCTGTGGAAAGGCTGTTGGCTTTGTGTGGCCTTTGCACAGTTGAATTTCCATATCTGCAGACCGTTCTCCTGTAACTTCTTTGGGTATCTGATGTTTTTCAAGGGCTGAGGCTATGGCCTTCTCTGCTTCTGTGGGAGCCTCCATAGTGGATGCAGAAAACTGTGGACCATGCAGTGCAGGGTCTTCCTGAAGCGTGATCAAGCTGTCCCTGTCACCAAGTCTATCTTCTGCTTTATAAATATGTATTGCATCACTGCCATCAATGGAGTCTTTTGCTTTTTGATCTACAGGTTGTAGGCAAGGTATGTTGCGACACTCTTCTGCTGCATCAGGGTCCTTATCCATGCTATTCCCAGGCAAGGCAGCATCTAAGCATCTAACATCTTCTGTTTCAGTCTGCAAAGGTTCAAATTTCTCAATGATCTCTTTCACGGAGCTCTGTGAGTTCGACGTGACATTATCAGTTGGTTGCCCAGTTGTTTTCACCCCTTCCTCCTCCATCTCTTCTTCTTTGTGCTTTGTTAGAGAGGACAGTGCATTTGGACAGGGCACTGTTACAGAAGCCTGGAGATCTGTTTCCATACGGTTCTGGTTCTCAGATTCTAATCTGCAATTCTCCTCAGCACCAGGGCCAGCATTCCAAGAATAATGCAAAGCATCAGAGGCCCTTGTCATGGATAATGCATCATTAGTTTGACTCCCATTTAAGTTACTGGTATTCTGGATTGATAGGCCTAAGTAAGAAAGGAGGAGAGAAGAAGATGGTTAAAGAACACAAGAAGCTGAGTCAGATCATTGGTCCATGTCATGGGCTGGCTGGATACAGAGGAATGGTGGGAGGTACCAGCTGCTTTTGGCTCTGCAGGGTTTCACACAGAAGTCTTTCCCATCCCTATCTGGAGATGCTGGTAACTGAACCTGGGACCTTTTGCAATGCAAACAATGTGTTCTTCCATAGGTCTCTGGTCTGCAGAAACAATACAAACCTCAACGCTCTTCCCCACACTCTCCCACATGTGCTGGCACATGCACGATCACACTCTTGCACACACACACACACACACACACGCACACACACATGCACACACACACACACACACACACGGAGGCCATTACCTGCCAAGCCCTCCTTTTTTCTACCATCTTCTTCAAGTAATTTTTCATGGTCTGGTTTTCCTTCTCTGGGTTTGAGAAGGCCTTGCTGTTTTGCCACCTCTTTTACCTATTGTGAAAGAGAATGACAGTTCAGACAATTTGCAGAGGGCACAGATTCCATTTTTTAAACTGAGCATAAACAAAAAGGGCTTTCAACCAACAAAAAGGGTGTTGGGGGTTGATCAGCTGCCTGCCTTTTTAAGGCAGCCAACCAATTTCACAATGTAATATTGAAAGGCGCTGTTGGGAACTTAGAATGGAAAGTGAAAGGGGGAAATGATTCCTTTGTTTTGCATCAAACTTTTATTCTCCAAGAGCTTCTGTACAAGATCCAAAGAGAACAGTGTTGATGGAACCATAGGTAAAGGAAACTCATTTGTTTTAACACACCCCTTGACCTCAAGGCAGCTTACGACAATAGACCAGTAAAATGTGACAAAGTAGAATGGATAAAGTGGCATGAATCTAACACCTACCCTTCCCAAAGCCTGGCAGATTACAAAAATTACAGACTACAAAAAAACATAAGGAAGAATCTCTTCCAAAAGAACCAGGAAGGAATTGGATCATCCCTTTCTTTAAAAAATAATAATAATCTAAATAATCCTAAATCCTAAAAGAAGAAAACTAGCCCATCCCATTCCTTGTGAGGCTAGTTTTCTTCTTGCAATTAATAAAAAAGGCAACATTTCAAAATGCAATGCTCCCCATCAGTAACCCAAAGTAGTACAGTCCTTGCTGTCAGCTCAGAATTCTGATGCCTCACTCTGCTGCAAGCATTGACGAGATCTGGGCAAGAACATTCTTGGAGCAGAGTCCTGTGTGAATATCGTAACAAACAGGAAGGCTCATAAGAGAGAATTTCTTCCAACCTCCAGAAGGCACTTACTGAAATAGTTTGGTTTTTGTGAGTGAAGGCTTTCTGCTTCCGCGGGTTTATTGCAATCTTGTGCTTGGCTGCTGATGTGTCAAGGCAGCCCAGCGGAGTGGGTGGACGGCTGAAATCAACAGGAAGCAAGTGGCTGTATGGCAAGGCAGGACTCCCAACAACTGCAGAGGGTTGTGGGCTAAGGGGTCTGGAGGCGGATTCTGAGGTGACCTGAAAAATGCAGACAGACAAGTTTAATAGGTTTCAAGCCTCCCCTATATATGTGATTATTGTGCTAAAAACAACAACAACAACAACAACAACAACAACAACAACAACAACAACTTGGCCTAGATGGGTTCAGAAGCTAAAATACTCAGATGTAAGCACTTAACAAACATTATAAGTAGGTAAGATTCCACCTTTAGACCTGGGAAAATTACTGCACTGAAGTAGGCTGTTGTCCAATCAAGTGAGTGTAATATTGTTGATAGAGATTGCTGGACTACACACTTTGAAAGTTAAGGATTCCAATCCCCACAAAACTCACAGGCTGAACTTAGGTTGGACATTGGCCTGGTGTGCACAAGGTAGGTCCCATCTGTGCTATACTCTACATTTAAATCAACACCACACAATTTTAAACAGCCGTGGCTCCGCCACCCCCCCCCCTGAATCCTAGGAACTGTAAGTTTGTTCAGGGTGCTGAGAATTATAGCAGATCCCTATTCCCCTCAAAGAGCTACAGTTCCCAGAGTTCCATTTAAAAGACCTATTTCATAATGCTACTAAAAGAAGAAGAAAAAGCAAAGCCAGCACAGACATGGCAATCACCCAGCACAAGCTTTATACATAAAACAACCAATTAAACCAAAGCACCATTTATTTCTACAGCTCAGTTTACAATTAGCACCACCCCTGGTGGCAGAAATAATAATAATAAAAAAAAGACAGGTCGTTCAGACCCATGTGAAGCTATGGAGGAATGGGGTCTGTCTGGTTCTGTGTGGGATTGAATTCTGCCACCGCAGGAAAAGTACAAAAGGCTGCCGCTTCAGCAGCAGCTGGAAAAAATGGCTATTTACCTGGTCATCTTCACTGTCTGTGCCACCTAAACTCAAAGAGTTATAGCGCTGGGCAGGGATTGAGGACTGCAGGATAAAACAAGGGAAAGGGATAAATCAGGGAGGCATGGGGCTGGTTTAGCGTTCTCCAGGATGGCACATAAAAAGGACAAAGGGGGTGGGGGAAATCGGGGGTGGGGGGAGGAATGTCAACACAGCACCCATCTCTCATGCATTTATGACAATATTGCCGGCAGCTATCCTTGCACTGCCAAAATAGCTGCCACTAGGACAGATGGGGTTGTACTTGTTGCTATTACAGTGGTACCTCAGGTTAAGAACTTAATTCGTTTCAGAGGTCTGTTCTTAACCTGAAACTGTTCTTAACCTGAAGCACCCCTTTAGCTAATGGGGCTCCCGCTGCTGCCGCCGCACAATTTCTGTTCTCATCCTGAAGCAAAGTTCTTAACCCGAGGTACTATTTCTGGGTTAGCGGAGTCTGTAACCTGAAGCGTCTGTAACCTGAAGTGTCTGTAACCTGAGGTACCACTGTATATCCCACCTTTTCTCCAAGGAGCTCAAGGTGACATACACCCCCCTAAAAAAAATATATTTAGGGATACCCTCATTTTCCTACTCATATTGAAATACTGCCCTTCAATGAGGCCAAACTTAGATTCACAAAATGTTTAGGGGTATGTGTACCCGTGTCCCCCCAGGAAAAAAGCACTGCATGTACCCTTCTCCCACTTTCCATTTTATCCTCAACAGTAACCCTGTAAGGTAGGCTAGGCTGAAAGACAGTGGGCAGCACCCAGGGGACTTCATAGCTGAGTGGGGAGTTGAACCCCTCCAGTGCCTGCGCAGAGCAAGGACAAAGTTGTTACGTTTCAGTGCAAAGTTACGTTTCAGTGCAAAGTTATGTTTGGTTTCTAAGTCCTGGCAAGTGTTTTCAATAAACTGCTGCTTCCAAAGCTTTGGGGTGCACTGGAAAGCTTTAGCCAAGTCTCCTTAAAGTTCTTAATCATGATAGCTAGCTATGGCCTCCAGCAGCAGAGGCAGCGGACCTCTGTTGCTATGCAACAACAACAGTGGGAGAGGACCCTTGCCCCCATGCCCTGCTTCTGGCCATCCCAGAGGCATCTAGCTTGCCACTGTGTAAAAGAGGATGCAAGACTAGACAGTCATTTGGTCTGGTTCAGCAGGGCTCTCCTGAGAGTTTTCTCTGTTTTGGCTTCATGAGACATCTCCAAATCAGATTCGTATAAAAATGAAAGTAAAGAGGAACAGGGGCCTTAAAAGCACAAGCTGCAATTTCTATGGGTGGTTTTCTGTGGGAAGAGTTCCCTATAAAGAAGGATTGATCGTGAAACCACTCTGAGCATTGTGGCTCTGTCAGGGAAATAAGGTCTCCTGGCAACAGTCAAGCACCCTCTAGAAACGACGAATCCCAGGATTCTCTGTAGGAACTGTTTAAAATGGTATGATACTGCTTTAAATGGATAGTGCAGATAAGGTCTAACTTCAGGTCATTAATTTCAGTGATTCTACTCCGAGTAGGACTTCATTGAATACAACCCTATGTTTCTTCCACGGCATGCATTTCAGTGCCACCACATTGTAAAATACGAAGGGCTCCAGCAGACCAATGTCTTTCTCCCCACCAGTATTAGAAACTGAAATATGAAAGCTAGGAGCTAAATGGCACCTTAAACCTAAATTATGGGCACAACAATGGAATGTTTAAGCATGCTTTTTTATAACAAGAATACAAAGCTGAAAATGAATGAACTGCAGCTGAAATATTATGTTCATTTTTCACATGGTCTAGTCCTTCCCCTGCCCACCCCCCTAATATTCTTAAGAGCGTCTCTTCTCCAGCCTTCAGAGAGTAACCAGAAGTGGGGAGGCAGAAAAAGGTCCTCCTTTCCTTCCACTCTGCAGTTTTAATCTGAAATCTTAGGCGCAGTACTACACCCAGAGCTCAGAAACTGCTTGAGCTAATGAAATTACCTGTCGCAAAATGTGCCAAGAACAATGGGAGTTTCAAACCCTGCTCCCCTCCCTTATTCATATACATGTATATGTGCACCAGTAGCAATTTAGTCATGCTGGCCACATGACCCAGAAAGCTGTCTGTGGACAAATGCCGGCTCTCTCAGCCTGAAAAGCAAGATAAGTACTGGACTTAACTGTCCAGAGGTCCTTTACTTTTACCCTTTAACACACACACACACACACACACACACACACTTTTCTTTTCTTTTCTTGATTTGAGGACTGGATTAAAAAGGGGTGGGAAGGGAAACCACCATGACCATAAAGATTTTGAGCACTATCAGGATTTGTCCAAATTAATATTAAATAAAGCTGGAATGGAGGAAAAGGAAATGAAACGTGTAGTGAAACATTTGCTGTTGCCTGCCAAATGGCAGAGGCACCACACCTCATGATATAATAGACCTATTCGGGCATTATCCTTCACATGATTAAACAGTGGTGCCATGGTTAAAACACTGCAGACCAAGGTTTAAATCCCCACCCAGCCATAAAGCTCATGGCGTGCTCTTGGGCCAGTTATTCTCTGTTAGCGTAAGCTACTTCACAGGGCTGTTGTGAGGATAAAGCAGGGATGGAAGGGGAGGGAGAACAATGTACTATGCCTTGAGCTACTTGGAGGAAAGTGGTAATATAAATGCAACAGTACAATTTAAAATGTGTGAAGGAGAGAGCAGGGCTGTGAGTGTGGCACTGTATGTCCTCATCCCCTGTTGGAAGCAGCCTGCTCTAATGCATGAAAGCTGATCATTCCCATTGACTGGAACACACACACACACACACACCATGCAGGAGAGGACAGGGACCAGCAGCATACCCCACTCCCTCTTCCCACACCTCAAGATCATTAATAGTGTGAGGGAAAAGTGCCCCAAAAGTGCTATTCTCTATTATCCCTTGTGTTCAAAAGGGCACAACACACACCTTGTTCGTAGAACAAATCAGAACATCATGGAGGGTGGAAATTCCCTTAGGACTTCTGGGTAAGCCATCGTCTTCTGAAATGCCACCCACCTCTTCCATTCTCTTGCTGGGGATAACAAGCGGTGGCGATCGAAACACGAGGTTTGGCTGTAACTGAAGCTGTTTAGGTGGAAGGAAAGGAAGGAATAAAAGTACAAGGAGTCATCAAACATTTTTTTTAACTAGGAGGTGCAGCCCTCTTGGCAAGTACAATGCTGCTAAGGTTGCTTCGGTTTCCATTCTACCCTTACATTGCAACCTGGGCCAACCCAAGAGAGTTTGCTACCCAAAGCTAAGGACAGGATGGTACTCTTCATTTCCACAGCTCTATATGCATTCAACCAGCTGTCCTGAGAGTTTAATTGCTCTTCAACACTGGCAACGATAGCATCCTCCTCCACTGTACCTGAGGACAGCAGGCTAGCTTTGTGGGCAACAGGATGGGACAGACCTTGGAGGACACAAATGTAATAATATTCCTATTGGATCAAGTACATCCTGGCAAATTCAGGTTGCACCACTGAGGTCGACTTGGAGCTCGTACATGTCAAATCCACTTCCACACAAGGCTGGACTTTTTACAATAAGGAAACTACTGGGGAAATGCAATGGGAAGTGTGAGATAACATTTGCTCAGTACAACATCATCTAACCTCCCAGCAAACAAATCTCAATAAACAGGTCACCTGGAAGTGACCAAACTTCAGAATGTGATGCTGGCTGCAAAAACCAGTAACTTCAGTTTATATCGGATATGGAGGGCAAGAAACGAGTTCCTTATGGTTACAATTGTATTGGGCATAGCTTGTAATAATAATAATAACATGCACATTTCATGGAACATGGAGACAGGGGAGAAACGTTCCAAAAGTTGATCTCCAGCGCTTCAAAGAACTCCTGGTGGGTAACTGAGTCCTGCTGTGTGGTCTCTCTAAAGCAGTGTCAATTGGCCTGAGCTCTGAAATCTGTGGCATTTGTATCAACCCAATGAAAAATGTGCTCATTCAGAGAACACACACACGAAAAAGGAAGGGGCAGAAATGAGCCAACGGTGGCTGTACAATATCTTCATTCAGACAAATGTCTTGATGCACATCCTCATGTGGAATTTGCATATATCCACAGCCACTCAAAGGATGAGTTCTGACTTGGAAAAGGAAGTCGCTTTTGCTATGCTGAAATGCTTTAATTTGCCATGCTCCCATCCTAAAACATGACAACCGTGTCTCTTACTAATAATGGCACAGGCTTGGCAGCAAGCATGGACCCAGAAGTCATTTTCCCAAGATACATGATAAAGGAAAAAGATGGAAGACTGAAGGGTGGTGGGGAGGTGTCCCAACAGCTGTCACTCCCCTCCCACCAAGCTTTAAAAGACAAGACTGAGTGAGCTCACTTGCGAGATTCTCTCGCCTTATGAGGCCACCATGCATTGAAACACATGCTCCTACTTGGTGAGTTCATATGATCCCACTTACAGTGGCAGCATCAGGTTCTCAGCGACAGAACTGTGCTGGAAGGAAAGGGGGATCCTGGAGAATCCTCAACTGAACCAAGAAACCACAACCCTCGGGAGAGGTGAAGGTCCTCTTACCTGCAAAGCTTTCACCTTCCCTGGAAAGGTTTCTGGAGAGGACACTGTGAAAACACTGTCATGAGATAAGGCTTTGTTTCCCATGTTCCCTTTGGATCTGAAATGGGAAAAAGGGGCAGTTCAGACTTTTTAAAAAACTATATTTTAACGCTTTTTTTAAAATGTTGTTTCTTTAAGTCACAGGCGGGGAAGCTATGACTCTCCAGATGATGCTGAACTCCAACTCCCAGCATCCTTAGCCACTGTCTTTGCTGGCAAGGGTTTATGGGGCTGATGGGAATTTGAGTCCAACAATGTCTGGATGGCTCCCATCTCTGCCTTACATTCTCCACATACACATACTAATTTTTACAACAGTCCTGTAAGGGTAGGGCTGTCTTTCCTACATACCATGCACAGGGCACCAAGGCTAAGAAATAGCAGCTTAAAAAGGCACTCAGAGTATTCAAAGCTAAGCTGAGAAAGAGGCTTCCTGGGTCTTAGAGAGTAACTCCAGCTTTCCCAAGCTGGAGCCCCCGATATTGCTGAACTACATCTCCCATCATGCCTGACTATTGCTCCTACTTGTTGGGGCTGATGGGATTTGGTGTCCAACAGCATCTAGAGGGCACCTGGTTGGGTGGGTCTGCCACCAAAAGTACTTTATTTATTATAACTCTTATTTTATATATACTTAAGAAAACTTACTTGCTGTGCTTCTACAAGTAGCAGCCAAGGTGGCTTAACCATAAAAACCATAGTAACATAGAAAGCAGGGCAGGACCCTTAGTTTAGTGCCTATAGAAGAGCCAGATAAATAATCAGAGGCTGTGAAAGTCCTTTGTAGGGGACCCTGGAGAACAGCCATTGCTGGGCTAGAAAGACCAGTGGTTTGACTCCATGGCAGTGGTTTCTGGTGCCCATTGGGAGGTTTGGGGCAGAAAGCAGGAAGCCCAACAGTAGGTGAAGCAAGACCCAACAACAGGCACAGCCAACTCTTCCTGGTTTTGTTCTCATCCTCCTCCCTGTTGAATTCTGCAAGGGCACCATTGAGACTAAGGAGGAGGCGGAAGCTGACACACAGTGCCATCTACTGTCTTGCTTGTTAGTAAGAAGGCAGGAAGGTGGGGGTCAGAGTGAGGTTGGTGGAGCAGTGCACCATTCATCCTAATGGACTAGTTTCCACTGCTCAGAGGAGCAGCCCTCCTTGGAATGTGGTGGACTCTCCTTTGTTAGGGGTTTTTAAGAGCAGAGGCTAGAGAGAAGCAAATAAGCACATAAGAAGATCTCTGTTGAGTCAGAGCTTTCTTGTCCAGCATTCTGCTCTCACACTGGCCTGCCAGACTGTCCTGCATTGGCAAGGCGGTCAGACTAGAGGACCTTTGGTGGCCCATTCCAACTCTGTGTTTCCTGTGTTCACTACTGCATACAACAATACACAATACAAAGCAGCCTTGGGGACTTTGTTCTTCGTGGAAATGTGGCCTAAAATAATACCTTGTATTAGTCAATAATACTGTGTACATCTGCGCTCTGTATTTTGGACTGCTGCAAGTTCAAGATTTGGCTATAGAGATCTTTTTTATTAGTTGCAGAGTGTTGCCACTGTCTGCATATTGGAGGTGGAGGGATAAGGTCATGTTCCTCCCACAATCGTGGTATGAAATAGCTGCTCAGGCCATGATAATATTTCAGGTACCATATGATAATAAAATATTGACGAACCCACCTGCAGCACCCCTGCTAATTGGTGCTGTCTGGGTGGATTTTAGACAACAGACGGTCAAATCCCATCTCTCAGTGCTTCTGTGAGCTAAAACAGTCCAGAGGGTGTGTTTTTTACTGCACTAGCTGTTTTGAGGCACGCTGCAAATGGAAAAGAGGAAATTCCTGGCATTCCAGCTGCAGTGCTGGGATTTGTTTGTGCACCAGCATGAATGAAATGTGTAGCTTGCTGTGGGACAATTCTTGCTTTTAACCTGTTGCTACAAGAAGATTGCACTACCTTACCCAGGCTCTATTGGCAAATGGAGTATGCAGGAATCAAGGTTTCGGATGCTGACATCACTACTGGATTGACTTGGCTTTAATTTTATTTCTCCCAGGGAGGACGGCTGCTCCTTGTTTTTCTTCTTCTTGGAGAAAAAGTTCTTAAAAGTCTGAAACCTTGATCTCTTCTTCTCTGCACAAAGAAAATTTTAAAAGTGTCACGTCAAAGCAGTTGGCATGAAGGGGGGAAACCTCTCTGGCGTTATAATGACTGTGAGAAAATGGAAGACAACAGTATGTCCAACTAATGGCTGCCTACTGTATTGTATTTTATTAAAGGTAAAGGTAAAGGGACCCCTGACCATTAGGTCCAGTCGTGACCGACTCTGGGGTTGCAGCGCTCATCTTGTTTTATTGGCTGAGGGAGCCAGTGTACAGCTTCCGGGTCATGTGGCCAGCATGACTAAGCTGCTTCTGGTTAACCAGAGCAGCACACGGAAATGCCGTTCACCTTCCTGCCAGAGCGGTACCTATTTATCTACTTGCACTTTGATGTGCTTTCGAACTGCTAGGTTGGCAGGAGCAGGGACCAAGCAATGGGAGCTCACACCGTCGCAGGGGTTCGAACCGCCGACCTTCTGATCGGCAAGTCCTAGGCTCTGTGGTTTAACCCACAGCGCCACCCGCGTCCATTGTATTTTATTACTTCATTCTTATTATACTGCATTGGTTTAAAATATTGTTTGTTTATAAATGGCACTTTTGTAAGAAATATAGCAAGGCAGCGTACAGCTTAAAGACCCAACACTGTAATACCCACAGCAATTAAAACAGGTGTTGGGAAACTTTGGCACTCCAGATGTAGCTGAGCTACAGTTCAACTTCCCTGGCTACTAGCAATGTTTGGTGGTGCTGATGAGAGCTGTAGTTTATTCACTTTGATTTTATTTGTTTGATTGCTGTTAGCAGCCCTGGAGGAAATAATAATAATGTGATGGAAAAGCCATTTATAGCCTCCACTCCAGCTGAAGATTTCAAGAACAATACACAAGATTATGCTAAAATACCACATATTAACAATGCACAAAACTAGTTCAAGCTGCTTCCTTAATTAGCAGTGGTGGCTTTTTGAAGGCTCATGGTCTGCTAGATAGCAAAAGTTTCGATTTTTTTCAATCGGCAGCAAATATGGATCTGTCTGATTTTGGAGAAAACTTACGCTCCTTCACATGCCTGGAAAACATTGGGCTGTTCCTCTAACAATTAACTCACACATTTGTTAAATGTGTAGATCATTACACATAATTCCATGCCGCCGCTGCCCCCATTCTTTCCCTCTAAGATGAGAATTTTTCCCAGCTGCATTGCACATATCTTGGATGCAAAGAAGTCATGAGATGACCAGAACCTGGCTTGACACATATTCTATTATTTGACTAAACAGGGGCACCAGACATTTTAAAAATCCTCACAGCTGGTGGGCTCCTTCGAAAACAAAAGCATCACTTCAATGGGAATTCATCTCCTCCCCTCCCCGCCAGCTAATCATTTTGTCAGCAATGTTTTCTCTCCGCCTCGTGCCAGCATGCATGGCAGGGGCAAGATAGTGCCACCATCAGCTGCAGAGTGGCTTGCACAGTAACTGCTTTGTGGAGTGAACAATGACTCCAGGCTGCTACCTGCCCTCTCTCTCTGCCTTGCTCTGTGGGAGAGAGATGTCAGCTACAGCCAACATACTTAACATGACTTAAGCCACATAGTTTGGTGCAGATAGTGATTAGGCATCTTGATCTAAGAGACAGGGAAACTGGCAAAGCAGTAGACTTTGCAGGATCCGCTTTTGTTCATCAGCAAACATGTTTGTGTTTTGGAGTTGCCAGGAATTCACAGTTAAAGGCTTCCATAAACAGTGTAACATCAGGATATCTTAAGGACAACCCTACACAGTCCGTAGTTTGGTGTGTGCTGTGCATGTGAGAAAGCAAATCACAAATGGTGGCACCTAGACTATAGGGACAACTTCTGGGGGAGGCTCATTTGCAGCCCTGCTTCAAAGGATTTTAGACAGCAAATTTTAGACCCTACTACTAGGGATGGAAGGATCTGTCAATTTCAGGTGTTGTTGTTTTATTTCAGTTCTCTCAGTTTCAGCTTTCCCCCCGTCTTAAATCCAGTTCCCAACGCTTATGCAGCAATCTGCAATTTTTTAAAGTTCTAGTGAAAGTTTACTAGCATTTTAGTGTGAATCCCTCCTAAGAAACGTATCTTCGTATGCGGTTTTGGCTAATATACGCATTTTTGCAAGAAACTTCTCCCAATTCATACAATGCATTTGAGAATTTGCTTTTCATGCACACTTTCCCCATATACTCACATTTTTTAAAAAATGCTGGTTGATACGGGGCACTGCAGCACAACATTTGGATAAGCGTGAATTTTGAACAAGGGCTGCTTTTCAGTTCTCATATAGTTTTGGAAAGTGCAAATTTGATAAGATACACCTTTCAATGGGAACTGAATCAAATTGCTCCCCCATCCCTAGCTGCTACTTTGAAAAACATTTTTGGACAGCAGTCAGCCAGCCATTGTTCCATGCTGCCATTCAGGCCTCTGTTGCTGTTCATGAGGGCCATTCTAGAACAGCCTTCCCCAACAGAGTGGCATCCATGTCTTTTTTTGGACTACAAAAGCACCAGCCATCATGGCCAATAGTCAAATGTGATAGGAGTGGTAGCCCAAAATTACCTAGAGGACCACAGTTGAGTAAGGCTATTCTAGGAGAAAAAAGAAGAAAGTAGCCCCTTGCCAGAGTTTCAGCTTACAAGAGAGAAAGTGGTGAGGAGTTTGGGAGTGGTGGCTCTGCTGCCGGCCAGGTACCATCAGCTTATTGGGGGTTAGTTCAGACTGACAGTTGCCAACCCATAGATCAGGACATCTTCAAAACAGCCACCCAAAGTGCAATATATTTACTTACTTGAACATTCTTCCTCTGTCTCTTCAACCTCACATGGCTCTATCTCATACACTCCAGTCGCCATGACAGTCTCTCTGAAATTTCTAAGGATAAAACGGAAGATTACTTTAGATGTGAACACACTCTCAAGTACTCATGATAGACTGGGATATAGTTTCACGCCCAGCAAAGAAGGAAAACGTTGTCTCTGATGCAGTCCTACAGAACCACTCTGTGCATACCAAACCGGGGGGGGGGTTATTTCACAGATATGTTTGCACAGGAGCTAAACGGTCTTTCCCTCACTTTTCAATAACACCCCGTTCTCCAGCCAAAAACAACAAACAGCCTTGCTTCTCAAGAGGACATGTACCTCTTTTCAGGAAGCTGGGATCAACGTTCGCATTAAGAGGGGGAAGAAACAGTAAATGCTTAGAATGTTTTTTTGTTTTTTTTTCCCTTTCCCGTGGGCAAAAGAATCTCACAGATCAGACTCTACAGCTTTTTTTTTAGACTTAAAAAACCCCCACCTCTATGCTAAGGGGTTAAAGGATCTACATAACGGAGAATATGAGCTATCACTCAATAAATGGAAATACAGCAGCAAGAGCAGAAAACAGCAGATGTGAAGACAGAGCATGAGAATCAACAATATGCAGATAAGAAGCCAGGTCATTTAGAAATAAATTTAAAAGAAACAGGACTGTGTCTAACCCCCCCCCCCCCTCGGAGCAGGGACTAAAATAGGAACTTATCCTTGCTGTCCACATCTGATTTGGCTGCATATTTAGAAGTATTTGTTTTCGCATTGTTGTGACACATATTCTGTACAAAAATTTATTGGTCTGTGACTGTATAAAAAAACAATTCTTCTTCAAAGTGGAGAGGTTTCTGGCTAACCTAACTACTGGGTTCATTAAAGGACTAGGCTCAAGTCCCACCAGATGATAGCAGTGGAAACTGGGGGCAGATCTGATCCAATGGCGCAGGGGAATGAAAAGATAGATAAAGCCACAGAGCTCCCTCATGTAACTATCTTTCTAAACTGATGTGCTTTATTATAGGGTCCCTCAGCTCGGGGCTGCAAAAAACCCAGTTCTGCAGTGCAACCACCGGACTGCCCTTCCATCGTGCCCACATACCAGAGAAGTCAGGAGGGTTGCAGACTTGCTTAGCTTGCAAAACACTCTCCTCCGCAACCCGCCATCTGCTTCCTTTCTTGCATTTCTATGCAATTGACGGCAGAGGTCCAGACAGGCTTCAGCCCTGATAACAAGGTTCAGTGCTGCAACCTGGGCAGCCCCTGCCTTTCCCTCATTCTCCTGAATTCTGCCTGGTATCGCTGGCGAGCTACCAAGTGTGCTTGTGGATCCTAATTTTATTCCAGGAATGGAGAATCTTTAAATGTTGTGGGCATGCTCATGTAAGGAAGTAAAAGGGGGGGGGAGGTGTGCCTTCTTTTAAGATGGTACCTAGCAGTTACAGTTTTTGAGTTGCAGCCAACTAAGTTTTACTTGAAATTAATGGGCCTAAGCCGTGCCCGTCAATAGGTCTACAGTAAGGAGGACAAACACTTGATACAACCCTTTATATAAGTATTGTATTAAAAATAATGAACTTTTTTGAAATGTGCTGATCCAGTTAATCTTCTAATCAGTTAAAAGAAGGTTTTAGAATCAATTAATATAACCAATTAATCAATTACAGGTTGCAAACCATGTATACATTTTCAAGCATATATTTACAATCAAAGGGCCAGGAAGTTGCTTGAAAACTTTTATGTATGTAAAGAGGACAGCTGAAGAAGTTCAATTCTGCACTTATTCTGACATCCTAGACAGGAGTCAGAGATTCTGTCCCCCCCAGATATTGCTGGACTCCAAGCCCCATCAACCGTGGCCATTGGCCATTTTACCTGGGGCTGATGGGAGTTGTAGTCCAAAACATCTGGTGGCACACAGCTTCCCCAGTGTCCCGCCCCACGTTCTCATGTAACTAACGAATACACACATTCCAAGCTATAGGTCACATTCAGAGCTGAGGTAGGTCTAAGATGCCAAGCTCTCTCTTAAGTATCACGAATATAATAAGATAATACAGTGGTGCCCCGCAAGACGAATGCCTCGCAAGACGGAAAACCCGCTAGATGAAAGGGTTTTCCGTTTTGGAGGTGCTTCGCAAAACAAATTTCCTATGGGCTTGCTTCGCACGACGAAAATGTCTTGCGAGTTCCTGCAGGGTTTTTTTTCCTCCCCCCCTTTTTTCTAAGCCGCTAAGCCGCTTATCAGCTGATCCGCTAAGCCGCTAAGCCGCTTAACAGCTGATCCGCTAAGCCGCTAAGCCACTTAACAGCTGATCGCTAAGCCGCTAAGCCGCTTATCAGCTGATCCGCTAAGCCCACTAAGCCGCTAATAGCGCTAAGCCGCTAAGCCGCTAATGGGCTTGCTTCGCAAGACGAAAAAAACCGCAAAACGAAGAGACTCGCGGAACGGATTCTTTTCGTCTTGCGAGGCACCACTGTAATAGCATTAAGAAAGTCGAGTTTAGCAGCCAAGTGACATTCAATATTAATGAAAGCATTCTGTTAGGATCATTAAAAGGTCATGTTGGCTTTTTTGCAAATATCAATGGACATCACACTCAAATGACCTCTCTGGGTGCACCACAAAGGCCCATACAATTCCTATAAAAAGGAATTTGATTAAATACAACTACACATTAATGTATTAGGAGGAGGAGGAGGAATAGTAGTAAGTAGAAGTACATCTGTATGGAGAAGTGTGTGTGATTTTCCCGCCATTCACATTGAACAGGCTTTACTGCAGTGCCTTTTATTGCTGGAGAGAGTTTTGTGTGTGTGTTCATGTGCAAGTAAAACAAAATCTAATAGAAAACAGCTGGTTTCGTGGGTTTCTCCCTTTAAAAAAATGTAACAGGAGGAAATGCTTTTCATACAATTACACAGGCTTAGCTGGGGAAGCCAAAGGGAATGAAAGACAAGGCAAGTCTCTTTGGTGAAAGAAACGAAAATAAATGGTTTGCTACGTAGCAGTCAAGCCAAGGGAACAAACGCCTCTTTGAGCCACAGATCTTGAATTTCATGCTGCCTCGATTTCTCCCCACCTATACGGCACCGCCTCTAATAGAAATCACCCGACACAGGCATTCAAGGCAAGCCAGATGTCATAAACGAATACACATCCTAAAGAGACGCAGTTGGGCTCCTGTCACTTGGTCACTCTGAACTTCTGGTGAGTTCACACAATCTGGCCATCGTGGGTAACCCAGAATGTTCAATGTGGCTGGGGATGAAGGAGCATCTCCACTAGCTATTCCACATGCAAGGGGGCATCTCCCAGTCAGAAGAAACCTGTTCTGTCTCCAGAAGGAATCCAGTGTCTGGGCAGGGAGGAGAAAGAAGGCCCATTGCCTTATACCTTCCCTGCTGTGGCACATCCACCCTCCGAACTAGGGTTGGTGAGCCTGTAGTTGTCCAAATGTTGCTGAACTACAACTTCCAACATCCCTGATCAATCACCATGCTGACTGTGGTAGAGGGGCGCTGGGAGTCCACACACACCTGGAATGCTGCAAGATCACCATTGCTGCTCTAGGTCAAGCACAGGTGAGAAGCTAGATGAAAACCACACTCCACACGCTATGTGTCAGCACACTGATGTATGTTATCACCCACACACACCTATGACCTGGGCTGGGCTGCGCTGAGGACACCTTTAGTTCCCTTGTCTCAGGAGTTAGGGAAACTCAGGCAGAGGGGGAGCAAATGCAACTCTATCCAGCCCTCCCCAAGCTACACCCCTCACTGGCCTGGCCTCAAATGTGTCTTTCCCTGACTGGAATGTGTCCTGGAAGTCTGATTATGCCAAGCATAATCAGAGCATGCACCACTCTGGCAAGACAGTGCACAGGCAGGTAAGGTCTCAGCCATTGTACCAGGTGGAACAGGTAGGCAGAATTGATCCGTGCCTCCATGGACAGCTATGAGTCCAAAATTACCCTCAGGCTATGCACCTGGTCCTTCAGGGGCACAGCTACCCCATTCAGGACTCCCCATCCCCTGTCCCCCAGAAACAGTACTTCTGTCTTGTCAGGATTCAACCTCAATCCGTTAAATGCCATCCATCCTCCAATCGCCTCCAGACACTCACACAGGACCTTCACTGCCTTCACCGGTTCTGATTTAAAGGAGAGGTAGAGCTGAGTATGAGGACGCGGGTGGCGCTGTGGGTAAAAGCCTCAGCGCCTAGGGCTTGCTGATCGAAAGGTCGGCGGTTCGGATCCCCGCGGTGGGGTGCGCTCCCGTTGTTCGGTCCCAGCGCCTGCCAACCTAGCAGTTCGAAAGCACCCCCGGGTGCAAGTAGATAAATAGGTACTGCTTACTAGCGGGAAGGTAAACGGCGTTTCCGTGTGCGGCTCTGGCTCGCCAGATGCAGCGATGTCACGCTGGCCACGTGACCTGGAAGTGTCTCCGGACAGCGCTGGCCCCCGGCCTCTTGAGTGAGATGGGCGCACAACCCTAGAGTCTGGCAAGACTGGCCCATACGGGCAGGGGTACCTTTACCTTTAGAGCTGAGTATAATGGTGAACACCCAGCCCAAATCCCCGGATGATCTCTCCAGCGGTTTCATATAGATGTTTAAATTCCCTCCCCATTTTTCATACAGCAAGATGGTCAACAACAACAACAATGGCTTTTTAAATAAAAAAATGCACAGGCCTTTAGATTTGGTAGGATACCATGTGTGATTTTCCTCTGGCTGCAGCTGTATTTGGATTTAGTTGAGGTTTGTTGTATTAAGATGTGCTTGTTTTTTAAGGATGGCTCCTTCAATGATAACCAGTGGATATGTCTATAACAGCCTCTATTGATTTTTGATTTAGCCGTTCCTGTTTTTCTCGAGGAGATTTTGCTACTTCATAAAATACTCCTTTTTTTAAAACAGTATTTTGAGGTTCTTCTTGCTTCTTCGTTGAGAAGCAGGTCCCATATACCAAACATCCAGTTCCACCACCCAATATTTTTTTTTAATGCACCACAGCTGGGGAAGGATCCTAAGTCTATGGTACAGCTTCTGCTTTTACA